TAATAATATTTTAATAAAAAAAAAAACCTTACCTTGTGACCAACTCGAAAGAAATTACCAAAAAAAAAAATTTATTGATAAAATTTAAAATTTATAATTATTGTTAATAAAAAAATAAATAATATATAAAAGTTAATAAAATAAATGTAAATATTTGAATTTTTATTAAACTATAAATATGACAAAAACGTTATAAACTGAAATTTTTGGTTGGTATGATCGTCAAAAAATTATTTGGAAAATAAAACTTTCCGAATAAAGTTAAACATTCTTTATTTTATATCGCTAAAAAAGATACGTGATACATAATGAACATATTGTAATTGATAGCGAAATAACATAAACGTCATATAAACGACTTGTTCATGTACAGTACTTTCTATTTTTAGGGGTTTATTTCTTTTAACAAAAAAGTTTTTTTAAAAAGTAATTTTTATTTTATATATCTTTATGGGTAATAGGTTATAATTTTCATTCTGTTATCATCTTTTTTACCCACCCTCCAATTGTTTCTTATAATTATGTACAATACGAAACAGTTGATGTTCCGGCTTTTTTTTTTATTATAATAAAATTATCCTTGTTATACCGATTATTTATTTACGATATTATATTTCTTGAAACACTCGCAAGAAAAAACGTAAACATAATTAAACTGATTGTACAACATATCTTTTTTTTTTATATTACGAACAGATCATCAAATAAGATTTTTTTTTTATTGGTAAAACCTTAAAATAATATGAATTATATGAATTTTTTTTTGCCATTGTTCAATTATTCTTTATTACAAATAAAAGAAGGAGCAAATGTGAGCCATCTATTTTTCGTTTGCAATGAAAGTAACCTGGCTTTTCTCATATGTCTTTTGTTTTTATTCACTTTGTTAAACGTATTAGTTCTCCATTTGATGTCAATCCAAGATAAATTAAGAACTCACAACTCGATTTGATGTGCGTTTCATGTTGATCCATTTGGAATTTCTAATTTAATACTCAATCAAGTCAAAAGAACAATCAATCTTCCTTTTCAAATTCCTATTGTTCTTGAATTTTATTATCTACTGCTGATTTAATTCAATTTAATCACAAGAAATGTTGATCAAGAAGTGAAATTCAGTATTAAAAAAGTAATATACAAAGTAAATGGAACTAAGAGCCATGTTATATTATTTGTTAAATTTCAAGTGAACTCTGACCAAAATTTTCGTGTAATACTACAGGATGCCGGGTTTTTATCAGAATTTGCACTCGGATCTAAAACTCTCATTTTTGACAAATGACACATGCGTTTCACTAATCACTTTACTATCACGCTAAATCGGATTAAGAAATTCCATTATATTTTTGCTATTATTATATTAAAGTGAAGTTTGAATCATTCTCCTTATTATTATGAGAAAAAAAGTAACGATTTCGACTGTTAAATTAGTTTTTTTTTGCAGTCTATAACGATATCTGTCATTAAAGAGAACATATGGAAATTTTGCGGGATATCTTTTGTTCTGCTGGTTACATTATGACCGTCGCACAAAAAGTTCGATTCGCCAAAGACGAGTTTCAAAGACATTATCGGCTGTTTTTATTTCACGGTTACGAAGCGGCGTTAAATTTTGTAACTCGAATGAACGGGAGCTCAAGGACTGAGCAAATGAAATCTTATAACTACTCGTTTCAAATGACATTCCAATCATTTTATAATTCTATAAAAGTTAAAATATTTGAAAACTTATCATGTCCCAATTTAAATGCTCACTCAAAGTTTAACCAATTGAGTTATTATTTGGCAAATGAAGATAAATTCGATCCTTGAATATAGAGTCATAATGATTTTATCATCTTAATTTATTATTAGTATTTCATGTCAATGATAAAATAAAAAAACAATTAAAAGAATCCAATAGAATGTCATGATTTAATATAAAATACTACGATGTTGAAATTTCCGATGAAATAAAGTTTATTGTCATGCATTAAAAATGAAAGAGAATTCAAGATTTTTTTTTTTTTTTTTTAAAAAAAAATCTTTTACACGCATCCGATTTCTATTTAAGTAATTATTGTTTTTCATGCAATTTTCCAAAGGTTGCATTTTATAATTATCCTGCGATTGTAACAACCTTTTTTTCAGTGATACATGCTACATGCTGATTTGCGTGTATTCGAGTTTCTAATTTCGATTATTTTGAACGAAACATTTCCGTTTGCATAATTCAATTTTTTTTTTTGTTTTAAATAACTGCCAATTTTAAACAGTGCACATAATTTTTTTTGACGCTCTTATATTTTCTAAATAGAGTTACCCTTTGTTTCATGTGCAGATCTTTTTCTTTGTAATACGCTACATTTTGTTATTCAATAAAAAGAATTTTTTTTTTGTCTTATAATATAAAGTTAAAATAAAAAGATAGATCACACATGAGGTACAACATCAATTTTCCAGCTACTTCCAAATTAGTAAATATTTGACAACTACATACACATAAGCCTTTCAACTCTTTCAACTAAGAGGAAAGTTAATAAATACCGACCTTTCATTACAGGCTGATTTCCAAAATATAATTTAAATTCTCGACTTTTTATCAATTTATTTATTGTTTGTTGTGAAAAAGTATTCGTTATGCCTAAAATCCCAACGAAAATAAAAAACAAACGCGTTAATTTGTTGATTAATGCTAGTGAAAACAGTTCTAGGTTGAATAGAAAAACAGGAATCTATGAAGACAACTCTAATAGTCTTTTCACTGACATCAAACCCAAATTCCCTCCCACTTTAACTACAAATGATCTCATCAAGAATACCAACAAATCTAACACATTTAACAGAAAATCATTTCCAAACGCTTTTATCGCGTATAGAATGGCATTGACTAAAGAATATCATAATAAGAGCATTACACTACCTCACATGGGCCATCTATCTAAGATCGCAAAAAAGTCTTGGGAGAAAGAATCACAAAATGTCAAAGACTTTTATCATAAACTATCTGGGGATGCTAGATTTTTGTATAAGAAAACAACGTTCAAATCGTATTTGATAAACATATGGATGATTTGACAGTAAATAATAAACGAAGCGGACAAGACCATGTCGTAAGATCACATACAAACGTCAATTACACTCAGACCCTTCCTGTCGAAGACATAATCTATTCAAATTGTTATCTTCCGACTGTGGATTCACTTTTAGCTTCCAACCTTCTTATAATCATATCCAATTCCTCCTGGTGGAAATTCTACTAGCAATTTACAAGATAATTCTTCTTATGTTTTAAACTCAGATGTAATGAATTCAAATTTTAGCGACCGAGAAGCGTACATTAGAGATTTAGAGCTTATCGTTTTCTTGCAATTTAATCGTTTTATTTACGACTTATTTTAAGTGTTTTATACTATCAGAAGTTTATTTTTAATTGATGATTTTACTCTTATTTATTAAATTCTGAATATAAGGAATGATGTTGGTCGAGGAATGGGAAGCAAATATTCTCTTTCTACTTTCTTTGCACAAACCCTTTTTACAAAGATGTATAAAAATAAAAAAAAATCAATTGAATAAATTTCATAAACGGGAACTTCAAAATGATTTGAAGTCGTATAATGCCGTTTTGCAGAAACAAGATAATGCTATATTTTGATTTTTTATTAAAATATGATCCATAACGTGATTGATGTTCCGCAAGTATTTCAGCCTTTCTGTGGTGTTCTAATTTGGGATAGTGGTACTCCTAAAATTGGTTAAACGAAACTCAATCAGAAATAAATTTTTAGAATGTCTACGCATGACCTTATGATTCAAATATAACGTGCAGGGTAAGATGCTAATGTTATATATAAAATAGGGAAAATGGGAATGTGAGAAAATTAACAATGGGGAGGGGAAACGTGAGAAAATTAACAAGTTGATGCATGATCTTGAACGTCTAAATAAGAATTCAGTTATTGGTATGGCGGAAAAGATCATCCGAACTGCTGCGCAGTTCGGTGATATTCCAACCCCCGTACACAAACTGGTTAGGGTAGCGTCGGTAATAAATAACAAGTTGTATCTCAAAAAAAATATAAAACTATATGGAAAAAGTAAAATGTTGGGTGTTACGACCCGAAGCGAGCTAACCGGAAGGTAAAAAAAAAAATTGATTAGATAAAGGAAACGAAAACTAAAAACGAAAAAAAAAAATACATACATACCATGCCGATTTCTCAAATAAGACAACCCGAAAGTTAAACATGTGTTAGATATATCATGGCAGATTGATGTCTAGAAACCAGGTCAAAATTGATCCTATCCTATTTTATTCTATTTATTGGAGAAATCTTTCTTTATCAGTAAACTTTATCCTTTATTTAAACTTGGTTAAAGTTCGAAAAGTCCGGAAGGCTATATAGGCAATGTAATTGTGAACCCTTTAGGTAAATGTACTTACCACTTTTTTTTTTCGAAATCTTTGGCTTCAAACTACTTTTTATTATGACATAGAATGTAAATAACGAATATGTAAAGGTACTCCATTACTGAATTTAAATAGTTTAGCTTTAACTTTTATATTATCTATCTTATTATTAATAATTTTTTTCAATTTTGTAGGTTAGGGCTGATTCGACCTTTAGGACGAACGCGGGCTGGTATTTTAGATTTAACTATGACACTTTTAGTTCAAATGTAAACATGGTTTGGTACATAGTGACCGTGAGTAGAAACAATCTTATATTTGTTTGAATTAGTATAAAAAAGTGCATCAATTTCGTTCAACATTCAATTTGGTTAGTTCATTTGCTAGACGATTTTAAAGTTCTCAATGTAAATATTTTTTTTTTTTTTGTGTATATTCCGGCTGATTGGAATTATTGGGGGTGGCAATTAAATTCTTAAGCTCAATTAGTCTTAGTTAAAAAAGGAACCGTTGACGTGATTTCGAACATTCTGGAATAAACCACATTTTCGTATTACTTGAGCTTACTACGGTTATGTAAAGTTTAAAGTTTAAAATCAAATATAGTTTTAAGCAACACAATACTACTGTCAACCTCTCATTCCCGAACAAAGACCACATTTTTAACGACCCTCAAAGTGCAAATAAAAATCAAGGAG